CATATGTATCGTACTTACCCATGGTCCCCTTCGACCTCGAGTGTGATCTGCTGAAAACGTGTACCGTGCCCTCGAAACATATCCGACCCCATGGATTTGCTGAAGACATCAAGATCATCAACGATCTCCAGATGAAAGAAGTCGATCGTAGTCTTCCTGTGGTGATATAGCAACATACTCTTAAGGATGTAGACCAGGCAAAGCTTCAATCTGTCTAACATATGGTCACATCTCCTGATCGCGTCCATCAGCTGTGGGAGAAGCACCGCCCCCTGTTAACAGGAAAGTTAAATACAGAATTAAACAAAACAATATTTAAAAATTAAATACAAAATAAAAATATTTTTTAATATTCGAAAAATTAAATTATTAATAAAATTTTAAAAATGACATGGGCCGGTTGGCTGTTAATCGCCGCCCGACTTCCATTGCTGAAAATTGTCATTTCCTGCGATGGAGAGCTCCAATAATGGAGCTATTACATCTAAAAAGGTCAAAATTTCTCCATAATCACTAATACTCAAGAAAATCTATCTATGTATGAACAAATAAACTTTAAAAAAAAAGTAAAAATCATTAGAATTCCTTATATGAAAAACCCGATTTTAATCACAAAAACTAACCTTCTCTTTCGCCGGTGATGGGGTTGTTTTTGTGATTGTCGGCGCCGGTGACTTCGTGGTCGATTTCGTCGACTTTTTTGGTGGTGGTTTTGGGTCGGTTTCGGCTGTGCTTTTGGAAAGTTGGGATATTTTTGACTTTTCTTGTGTCAAGTTATATTTTAACTTTTTCATTTTTTTTATTCTACTTACTGGACAAAGGCCAAAGTGGAAATATGAGGTAGTCAACAGGCCATTTCCACGTATTTCCTCGTGCATATATGTGGAATACATATACATATATGGGACAATCTCTTGCATATTCATACCTATATTTTAGGCTATTTTTGACTCCTATAGATGACAAATTAAATCGAAAATAAACATGTAATGACCTGGGGATTCTTCTATGAATGCGCATCAATATCATATATTTTAAACACACTGTCATCAAATGTGAACATTGTTTTTCAACCACAACAGGAATATACAGTTCACCGGACCTTCAACGATGGACTAAAAATCTCTCCATACATGATCTCTATTTCAAATGATTTATTGAAAAAAAATAAAAATCGATCAAGGCTTTCGACAATACTTCACCCTAATTTCAATTGTCGAATTACATTTCAGAAACCAATGCAATGTATATGTTGCATTCATGTTCAATACAGTGTCGTTGAATTTGCACATCGTTGTTCAACCACATTGCAAATCGACCTTCAAGATGAAAAATAAAATTTCTCCATAAAATTTACGAACTATAACTCAAATCTTAAACATGTGGAAAATTCAACTCTATTACATTTAAGAGACGTAACTTCCCATATCAATTGTATACAAGAAAATAAAAAATCGTGTAATGAACTGCAAATTACTCAAAACATCTCACATCCAAAATAAAGATATATTGAATGTGGTGCCTTCCAAAATGTATATTTCAAAAATCTGCCAAAATTATGCCCAATATATCTGTAAGATAAGGACACTGGGTATAGTACTCACATCAATTACTAATGAAAAGTAGTGCATTTTTCGGTTTATTGAAAGACGGGAGCAAAAGATGCAAACAAAGATTAAGGGCACGTTTGACATGGCTTTTTAAAAGTTAAAAGTGGCTTTTGAGATCCAAAAGCTGTTTTTGAATCCATTTGGCTAATTTCATAAAAGTGTTTCTTATAGTTAGTAGGGCTGGGCAAAATGTCCAAACCGAACCGAACCGAACCGGAACCGAACCGAACCGAACCGAGCGGGTTTTTTAAAATGAAATACCCAAACGGGTATCCGAATCGAGAACCGAATGGTTTGGTTCGGTTCTC